AAACCTTCTTTATATAGTCATCTGTTGCTGCTTGGAGCACTGTGATATGTATTCATGAACGTCTGAATACATACTTGTTTGTGACTGGCTATATAGCATGTCTGTGTGGTCTCATTAGCTTCACTCTTCTAAGAACGGACTATTCCCCAAATCCTGGTCAACTATTTGACAAACCAAATTACTGGCTGCAAAGAGAACTGAGAGTTCCCGAATTGAAAAATTCAAATCTATCATCACTTAAAAATCAAACAAAAACATGATTGTATTATTAGGTAGAACTTAAAAGCATTTCAAAGCCACCACTAAACATTTCTTAGTGAAAAACCACTTTATTTTTTTTAAATTATTATTTTTAAGTAGGCTCCACACCCAGGATAGAGCTCAACAAAGCTACTTTAAATAAACAGAAATCCTTTGGTGTAAACTTTTTTCTTTGGTAAATTTATTAAGTATGGCCTATGTACAGAAAAGTGCTTGAATCCTGTGTGTGAATTCTTACAAAATGAACACACCCATGTAAGCAGGACCCACAAGAATCAGAGCATCATCAACACCCCAGAATTCCCCCATAGGCTAGCCTCCTGTTGTAATATCACCTTCCCCTCCATGTGTGACGCTATCCTGACTTCAAACACCATGTATTAGTGTTATAGTTTTGAATTCTGTATCAATGGAATCATATAGTTTGTATTCTTTTGTTTGGCTTCTTTAACCACTATATTTGTGGGAGTCATGCATGTTGTTGCATTAACTCCCATTTCTATATACTATTTCATTGTGTGAACAGGCAATTTGCTTATCCATTCTTCCAAACTGCCCCTTTAGGTGGTTTTCAGTTTGGGGCTATTACAAATAGTGCTGCTATGAACATTTTGGCACACATCTTTTGGTGAACATACATTTATTCATTTCTGTTGTGTATAGACCTATGAATGGGATTCCTAGGTTATTATACATTCCTAATTCAACTTTGTAGATACTACCAGAATAGTTCTCCAAACTGTACAAATTTATATTCCCGCATGTATGATGGGTTGCATGTATGAGGGTGTGGTCGCTCCACACCCTCACCAACACTTTGCATTCTGTTCTTTCCATTTTAGTCTTTCTAGTGGTTATAAAATGCTGTCACATTGTAATTTTAATTTGCATTTTCCTGGTAACTAGAAGCTAAGCATCTTTTTCATATATTAATGGGTCATTTTGTGAGGTGCCTGTTCAAGTCTTTCACCAATTTATCTATTAAGATCTTTTTTTTTTTTTTTTGTCTTGTCATTCTTTATGAATTCTGGCTGGATACAAGTCCTTTTAAGATATTTGTCATAGGGTGCCTGGGTGGCTCAGTTGGTTAAGCGACTGCCTTCGGCTCAGGTCATGACCCTGGAGTCCCGGGATCGAGTCCCGCATCGGGCTCCCTGCTCAGCAGGGAGTCTGCTTCTCCCTCTGACCCACTTCCCTCTCGTGCTCTCTCTCATTCTCTCTCTCAAATAAATAAATAAAAAATCTAAAAAACAAACAATAACAACAAAAAAAAACCTTTAAAAAAAAGATATTTGTCATAAATTGTTTATGTTCTAATTTTGATGACTTCTTGTAATTTTGATAAAATTGGTTATTTCCGGACTCACCTCCCTAAACTCTGGCTCAAACTGTTTCTCAGTTATATTTTCCTTCTTAAATGAGTCATCACACTATGACTACCTTGTTCAGCCAGTCATTCCTCCCTACCTTTCTTCTGGTTTATCTTTGTATGTCAGATTTATTCAAACCAACTTCCTGGTTGTATGAAAAGTACATACATAAGAAAAAGATAAACAGTATGATTTAGTACAAAGAGACACTAGAAATCAGGAGGCTTGAATGCTGATATTAAGTGGCAGTGTGACATGGGGCAAATCAATTAACTTCTCTGGACTTCAATTTCCTCTTCTGTGTTAATGAGAAGGTTGGAATAAATGACCAAAATTCTCATTAATCTAAGAAGCTGCTTTATTTCAGGAGTATTAAGCCCACATCTGCCTATTTATAACCATAATAGGTGTACTATTTGCTCTTTAAAGAACATCTTCTCTTTGAAAAACTCTTTCCAGGGATGCCTGAGTGGCTCAGTTGGTTAAGCAACTGCCTTTGGCTCAGATCATGATTCCGGGGTCGTGGGATTTGAGCCCCGCATCAGGCTCCCTGTTCAGTGGGGAGCCTGCTTCTGCCACTCCCCCTGCGTGTGCTCTCTCTCTCCCACGATCTCTTTCTTTCTCAAATAAAATTAAAAAACAAAAACAAAAAACCCCACAACTCTTTCCAAATACAGAGGCAGAATGTAGTGTGGTGATCAAGAGTATGCTCCCTGGCATCAGGCTACCTGGGTTCAAAGAGTGTCCATTCTTTTACAGGGTGCTTCCTTATTTTGTTAGAACAATGGCTTTTCGATTACTGATTGAATGATATTTTTAAGAAGTCTGAAGCAGTTGCTAGTAGTGTCCCACCTAAATCTCCTGGGCCATGACTACCATTTCACTGCACACCAGCCCAACCTCCCAACTACATGCACCCACATCTCTTTATGAGGTTTTCTGTGGCCACCAGTGCCCGATCTACCAGTATGCAAGCGCTGGGCATTGACTCTCTCAGTCCTTGTGGGAACAAGCCTTCACTGGACGACTGACAGGAGCTGGCTGTCAGTGACAGACGAAAGTTCTCCAGTTCTCTTGCACCGCAAGTGGGATAATGGAGGTGCGATTCTGCAGTTGCTACCAGAACTCCATAGCAGCGCTGTGCTTAATAATCCAAAGTGTTAACTTATTTGATAGTGAATTTTTATTGGCTTCGTTCAGTTCTGTCTGAATTCTTTACTCCCCTCCTGGTGTGTCCTGAGGTCACATCCCAGATAAACTCCCTGTACTCAACTACTTGTCTCAGAGTCAACTTCTGGGGTAACACAAACTAAGAGGAGACCCGTAGAAGAACTTCAGTGGCATTTTATCACAGCCCACTTGGGAAAATTGCTTTCCTTCTCTGTGCTCTTATATTGTAGCAATACATTAAAAGATACTGGGATATTACCAAGTGGACTAAAAGTTGCCCAAACACTGTATCACGAATAAGCTTTCCTATGAATTTTTAAGCATTTCTCTATATAAACTTGACACTTGATAGTAATATGCTAATATAGAGTGGCTCATTTCACACTCCTCTTTACTCCCTTGGAAGTTGTTAAAATACATTTAAAGAAATAAAGTATGTCCCGGGCACCTGGGTGGCTCAGTTGGTTAAGCGACTGCCTTTGGCTCAGGTCATGATCCTGGAGTCCCGGGATCGAGTCCCACTTCGGGCTCCCTGCTCAGCAGGGAGTCTGCTTCTCCCTCTGACCCTCTTCCCTCTCGTGCTTTCTATCTCATTCTCTCTCTCTCTGAAATAAATAAATAAAATCTTAAAAAAAAAAAAAGAAATAAAATATGTCCCAAGTAACATGTTGCTACATTGGATCCTAAATGATTTGGCTTGCAAAATCATGAATTACAAGGCTTTAGTTCATTTGTCAAAAATAGAAATGAGTACCATTGATCTCCTTTAATTTATAAGTGCACTTTTAGAAACCATTCACTTTTTCAATTTAAAGTAATATTCAGGATGGCATGGGATTCTGTGTACTACACTTCCAAATCATACTGGTATATGATTATAGGCCTTTTTGCAGTCTATCGTGAGGGTCCCAATTCAATTTCATGATCTTAAGTAATAATCTATAAAGAAAGGGAGAAACAAAAAATTTTTGAAGTTTATACTGAAAACAGTAAGTCAAAATACAAACAGGTGGCATGTTTTCTAGCAAACACACACACATACAAAGAAAAAATGTTAATTTAAATCCACTTTTTATTCTTTCATAGATTTTAACAATTATACACAACTTTTAACATAAAGATAGTGAAATCTCAAGGATAAGGAGGCAATATATATGGCCTCTTCAATTCGTTCTTCAGGATGGAAGGAAATTTCCAAAGGGTACAATGTGTGAGATTTAACACTGGAAAAATACATATGAAACTTGTTTAACTGGCTCCACTTAGGACCAGGCATAGCACAATATAGAACTGCATCATCTTTTTAAAAGATTGTTGTAATTTTAACACATTCTTACCAAAGAAATATGATCAGTGACCAATTTGAAATTCTACAACATGAAGGTGGAAGGACACTTACAATGAATAGCAGAGCATCTTCTATCTCTAGCCTCTTCACACCCATACATCAACATTCTTAAAAGGAAGTAGGAATTACATTGTAAATTCAGAACAACAAAAAACAAACTTGGTCAAACTTTCTTCATCTTATCATTCATTACTATCACAGTCCTAGTTTGCTGGTCAGTTTAAGGTAGGAATAGAACATTTTTGAAATCCTTTTCATTTCCACTGGTCTTAGGGCCTCTGGGTAGGAGGCCACATTGGAAGCAAACTGATAAAGCAGCACCATTAAGTCCACATCTCAACAAATCACTGCATAATTTTTATCTTCCAATATTCGGAAAGGTTAAAAAAAAAAATGCTGCATGGAAGAATATCTATCCTGAATAGCAAGCCACTGTAAAAACATGCAATCTGCAAGGATTTCAACAAACTATAGCTGAATTCTCTATTCACGGCATCTTTCCTTAACAGACCAAAAGAAATACGTTACCTAAAAATTAAATAATAATATACTAAGGCATAAAATAAATACTTTACTTATGCTATTACATTTGGGTATTTGAGATTGTTAGACATATTCACATACCCTTTCCTATTCCCAAAGAGGAAGCAATGGTGCCAGCACTATTGGTCAGAAAGAGTTAATAGAGAAACTGTTGCTCTCAGAGCTGTTCTGTAGTGTGCCTTACACAGACACAGGAATTATTATTTTAAAACATATACTGAAAAGACAGGATGAAATTATCTTTCTTTTCACATGACCCAGATTCTGTCATCAGCAGGTATAAGAATTAATTTCCTCCCTATTAAACAGAATGGAAACTGTTACGCTGCTATTGCTACAGATATTCTGAGAAATCTTTTGAACCAGTAAACTGGTAAACTGGTTGTTTAAACGTTCACTAAGCAAACAAACATGCAAACACATGACACATATCATTGTCCTGTAAAAACGTAACACCACTCTGGCCCCAATTATCACTACAGTCCAGCTGGTCCTTAATGGTGCAAACAGCCTTTAACCATACTGAATACCTTCTCTGTGGCATTTTACTGCCCATCCCACTGCCACATGATTCTTAGAAGCTCAGGCTTCTAAGTTGTTTGAGAAAAAGGAAAGGGTGTGATGTGGATCAAGTTCCCGGTGATTGTTTTAAATGTGATTTTAAGAAGTATTTCCTAGTAATGTAGTAGTATAGTCCTTGATACTGAATTTTTCATACTGAAATAAAATATGCTTTAACAAGATGATGTTTAAGTTTGACCACCTGGCTCCTTTTCCACTTTTTTAGAGGGTACTGATTCATATACTGTGCTGAGTCCCACAAATGCCTGTTTTAAAAACAGTAGAGTTCCCAACAGTTTCCTATAAACATTCCTGATTTATACTGGGGAAAGCAATGCATAATTGGAACATTAATCATTCATGTTTTTAGAAAAAAGCAATTATATCCTGCAAAGCAGTTACTTAGCAAAATGCTAAGCTGCAAATAACCTTACCACATAGATATTGAGTCATTTCACAAAGTACCTGTCAAAATGTATAGAAATCTGGCCTTCCATTCCAAATCTATTGCAAAGAGAGTACATGCAGTAGTCCTGTTTACAATTTAAAGGCGAGGAGGAAAGGGCAAACCGAGGACAAGTAGGGATGTCACCCTACAGACAAGTTTACAGTAGTGTAGCCATTATATATCATATTTACTACATTCATCACTTCGGAGAAAGGATCATGGAGGCCCTTCAAACACTGGAACAAAGGAATGTTTGTTTTATATACGACCTACCAGATAAACAGGGAAACAAATGATAACACACGTAGGCACTAGTCTCAAAGCTGCACAATATAGAAGCAAAGGGTTTGGAAATGAGAAATTTAGGAAAATATACACATATGAGAGGAGCTTGCTGAGGAAAGGAAGGAAAGAAATCACAGTTCTAATCTTCAAGGCTACGAAAGGCGTTCTGCATATCTTCAAGAAGTTGTGCATAGTCGGCCTTGATCTTTGCCTCACCATCTTTCACTGGATCCTGAGAAAAGACATTACAGAACTCAATTTACCTTTGGAAAATAATTTTCAGAACAGGTAGTAAGTTACTTATTTTGAACGTATTTTGAGTATTAGGTTAAGTGAGGTATACTGGCAAAACACAGGCAGGAGTCAAAAATTATCCTTATTTTCCTTTAAGAGCAGAAATGTATGCAAGGAGGAACACTCCAACCTAAGAGAAAGAAGACAAAATTCTGATTCCCCTGAAACTAATAATATACTATATGTTAACTAAATTGCATTTAATTTTTTTAAAAAAAGACAAAATTTTGGTTTTGTATTTGGCTTGCTAATTATATTCAATGACCAATGGATTTATCCTCAACAATATGCAAAATATGGGGAAATTAGACAATAACACATATTAGATGTATTCTACTGCATGTACATGATAGTTGGAGTTAATTTAGTCAAAACATAATTTACTGTTCAAGTTCTCATAATATCACATTGGCACAGGGAAGTAAAATTTCTAAAATAATCTTAAAAGGCAACACATTTTAAATCTCTATGGAAAACAACTTAATTGAGCAGTAAGTATAAAATAGACTTGACGTATAAATAAAAGAGACTTTAAAATATTTAAGCTCTCTAACCAAATCGGTCTACTTCTGGGAACCTATAATAGGAAAATACACAAAACCAACTACAGAAACAAAGCTGTCCATACCAACAACTGGAAATTTCCTAAATACTTAACAATAGGAAAATATTACTCTCCAGCCACAAAATAATGCTACAGAAGAATATTTAATGACATAAAAAAACAACTGAGGGGGTGCCTGGGTGGCTCATTTGGTTAAGCAGCTGACTCCTGATTTCAGCTCAGGTCATGATCTCAGGGCCCTGCAACTGAGCCCTGTGCCTGGCTCCGTGCTCAGTGAGGAGTCTGCTTGAGGATTCTCTCTCTCTCTCTGCTCCTTCCCTACTTGTGTTCTTGCTCTCTTGCTCTCTCAAATAAATAAATAAATCTTTAAAAACAAAATAAGAGTTTAAAAAAAAACCTTGGGATATCAATTTGATATAGTGTGCTGTAAACAGGAAAAAGATACCACCTTGAATCGCACTACTAGAAATCATCACTACATTATTATTGCATATATTTATCTCTTCATATGAATGTATAATTTTTTTTATTTCAGCAATAATATACAGTGTTGTATTAGTTTCAGGTATACAATATAGTGATTTTTTTTAAAGATTTTATTTATTTATTTGTCAGAGAGAGAGCACAAGCAGGAGGAGCAGCAGGCTCCCCGTTGTGCAAGGAGCCCAACGTGGGACTTGATCCCAGGACCCTGGAATCATGACCTGAGCCAAAGGCAGACGCTTAACCGACTGAACCACCCAGGCGAATCAACAACAGTGTACTCTTAATCCTCTTCACCTATTTCATTCATCTCCCCTCCCATCTCCCCTCTGGCAAGTACCAGATTGTTCTCTATATATTAAAGAGTCTGTTTTTTGGTTTGTCTCTTCTTTCCCTTGTTCGTTTGTTTTGTTTCTTAAATTCCACATGAGTGAAATCATACGGTATTTGCCTTCCTCTAACTGACTCACTTAGCATTATACTCTCTAGATCCATCCCTGCTGCAAGTGGCAACATTTCATTCTTTTGTATGGTTGAGTAATACTCCATGGTATGTGTGTGTGTATCACATTTTCTTTATCCATATGAATGTGTAATTTTTAAAAATAAAATTTGGATCAAATTACATACAGAATTTTTTTGCAACCTGATTTTTTTCACTCATTACACCATAAGCATTTCCCCGTATCTTTGGATTTTCTTTGAAAAAACAGTATTAATGTCTTCATAATATTCTTGCTCTAATTCTATATGCCATAATGTACTGTTGACCTGTTTACTCTTGAATGACATTTAAGAAGTTTAATAAACAATATTTTATACGTTCATATAAAAAATCTCTGATTAACATGTCAACTATACTTCACCTAAAAAAAAATCTGATTATTTCCTTGGGTTATATGTTTTGAATTGGAATGAAGACTCAAAGAGTGTGAATATTTTAAAATTCTTGATACAGTGTCTATTTTTACAGATTTATTTTCAACCTATAGTGTAAACAAACACTATATATAGAACACACGGTCAGAGAACCGTTCTCAACTTCTCAACAGGTGATTAGTAAATATATCTGGATGTCATGACTTAGAAACCCAATTGATCAAATACTTTAAAAACAATTTTACACATCTGAGCTTCTACTGATAATTTCATTTAATTATCTATTTATGTTGTGCACTTCAAAAAAAAAAAAAAGAGAATCCACCTGAAAGTTAAAAGTGATGGGTAATAGGGAAAAAAAATGATGTGTAACAGGATACTTAGAAGTAAACAGCGTAACTCATTTTAGATGAGCGTGGAGGCAAGATGGTAATAGGTACTTGAGGAAAAGTAATTGCTGCTCAGCCATGATCTTAGCTCTAAATTGCCTGGCAGTTAAGACGAAAGGGAAAACACGTCAGCATTTATTTTAGACATGACACAGTATAATTTTTATCTCTAGAATTCCTATTTGAATGTAAATCTACGGTCTCTTTTGGTTTTACATAACCTGAGCATGTGTGAAAATGATAAACCCAAGTTTCACACACCAGGTTTGTGAATAAATAGGTTGTTTGTAAAGAGTTAAAAAAAATAAAAAGAAACACTTCTTACTATAAAAAGTTAGGTAGAAGCAAAATATACCTTGAATTTCATAGAGGAAAGCTTATAGAGAATCTCCCCCATGTGCTCACGGATAATGGACCACGTGATTTTACTGTCACTCTGTGCAGTGGTTTCAACAGCTCTCCGGGCCATATCATAAAAGGCAATCATGTTGGACAGCATCCCAACTGTCTTGTAGAATGGGCAGAACCTAGGGTATAAATGAAAATCAAAATAATAAAAATAAAATCCAAAGCAGGTTCATACTTTATCTATAAAATACCAGAGCATTAGCTTTTTTATTTAAATATGCAGACTACTTATATTTATTGGATGATAATAATGAATGAAAATGAAAGTGGAAAAGACTAACAACTACTTGACCAGAGCTTTTTGGTACAGATGAAATATGGGGTGGATGGATAGATGGAGATATTTATTTACTTAAGAGTGATGCTTATTTTTATCTTTTAAAATAATCAAAGAGGAAGAACAATCAAACAGTACTGCTATTAATCTAACAACTCTCTGAGAGTTTGTTTTTGTACAGTGCAGTTAAAGGAGTAACCCAGACGGTAAAATAAATGAATTGCAAAGACTCCTTGTGATAATGGGATTAAGGTTTAATGAGTAATAGAAAAGCAGAAAACTGCAATTTCCTAAGGTGAATAGTAGTCCCTTCCCCCATTAATTGTTCATTTTCACTTACCCACACCTTTAAATAATGAGGACACACAAGTTAATATTCAACTTGGATCACATGCATGCCTATCAACTTTCTGACACATTTAAACACACTTGCACACACAATCTCATGCACATTCTGTATTACACTTTCTGAAGAATTTTCCTTTGGTTGAATTATCTTTGTATGGGTGGCCAGAGCTTCTTAAATTCCTGATACAGATTTTTGAGGCTATTGCCATATTTTCTGCTTGCCCTATATTCTGATAATATTCCTATGTGTTCAGTTCCCTCTTCAATCCAAATATGATTTGAGGGAGAAAAGCTAGCCTATGATCAAAGGGCTCGATTTATCGAAGTTTAAGAGAAATGGAGACTTTAAATAAGCCACAGCAGTAGCAGACACAAGTGGGACAGCTAACAGAGACTATGGCAGAAAGAAAGAAGACTAGGACTATTGGGAAATGGAGCAGGAAAGTAGGACATAATTACTTAGGAAAAGAGTAGAAGTGGCATGGGCAGCTGTAAAACGTAGTGACAAAAGCATCTGAAGGAGGCTCCACGCACAATCTAATCTAATTAAAGATGGCTGGATAGGGGCGAGTGGATGGCTGAGTCGTTGAGCGTCTGCCTTCGGCTCAGGTCATGATCCCAGGGTCCTGGGATTGAGTCCCATGTCAGGCTTCCTGCTCCACGGGGAGCCTGCTTCTCCCTCTCCCACTCCCCCTGCTTGTGTTCCCTCTCTCACTCGCTCGCTCTGTCAGATAAATGAGTAAAATCTTAAAAAAAAAAAAAAAAAGTGGCAAATCCCTTAAAAAAAAAAAAAAGTCTGGATAATGAGTGAAAATACTGTCGTCAAAACTGCACAAATGAGGAAAACCAAAGATAAGGGGACATATTAGATAGTTAGATGTTTGCTATGAAAATACAAAATAAACCTATATATTGAGTCAGGGTTGTGTCTGTATGAGGAAAAAAAAGGATTTCTAATGTGGAGGCAGCTCTTTCTTCAAAACTCAAAAGGAAATCCTCAAATAAAAAAAGAAAATCAGGATAGGTTACCTGTCATAAGGAGTATATCCATTTTGTTGTAAGAAATCGTCTTTGATAAGTTTTGCTACCTCCAGAGTGATTTTATCTGTTTCAGCTAGAGAAGCCTAGAAGAAAAAAAAATTTTTTAGAAATTTACTTCCATAATATGGGACCAGTGTTTATAATCAATTAACCAAGCAAAAACTATATAATCAACATACAGTCATCTATCATTAACAAATTCACTTCATAACTGCTTGTTGATTTTTTTTATTGTGGTAAAAACATGTAACAAGTTTTTCATCTTAACCATTTTTAAGTGCAGTTCAATAGCGCTCAGTATATTCACACTGTTGTGAAACAGATTTCCTTAACTGGTCATCTTGCAAATCTGAAACTCTATATCCATTAAATAGCAATTCTCCTTTTCCTCCTCTCCCAGAACCTGGTAACTACCATTCTACTTTCTGTTTCTGTGAATATGACTACTTTAGATGGAATCGTACTGTATTTGTCTTTTTGTGGCTGCTTTATATCACTTAACATAATGTCCTCGAGGTTCATCCATGTTGTAGCATGTGTTAGACTTTTCCTTCCTTTTTAAGGCTGGATAATATCCCATTACATATAGACACGCCACATTTTGTTTATCCATTCATTAATCAAAAGACAGTTGGGCTGCTTTTACCCCTTAGCTATTGTGTATAAGTGCTGCTATGAACATGGGTGTACAGATAAACTAATCTTCTTTTACTGATGTTGGCTAACTGAACATAATCAAAAAAAAAAAGCTCTTTTTTTGAAACACTTTCTTCACATTCTGTCTTGCTAGCTTAACTATTTGAATTATGAATCTTGAGTTTGTTTCAAGAAAAATCTATACAGGGACGCCCGGGTGGCTCAGTTGGTTAAGCGTCTGCCTTCGGCTCAGGTCATGATCCCGGGGTCCTGGGATCAAGTCCCACATCGGGCTCTCTGCTCAGGGGGGAGCCTACTTCTCCCTCTGCCTGCCATTGCCCCTGTTTGTGCCCTGTCTCTCTCTCTCTGACAAATAAGTAAATAAAATCTTTAAAAAAAAAAATCAATACATCCCATAAACAGTTACTTTTTTTAAAAAGAACATTACGTGGTGTTTAGAACTATGTAAATGCATGGGGTGCCTGGCTGGATTAGTCAGTGGAGTATGTAACTCTTGACGTTGGGGTTGTGAGTTTGAGCCCCATGTTGGGGGTAAAGATTACTCAAAAATAAAATCTTAAGAAAAAGATACTACATAGGGCGCCTGGGTGGCTCAGTTGGTTAAGCGACTGCCTTCGGCTCAGGTCATGATCCCGGAGTCCCGGGATCGAGTCCCACATCGGGCTCCCTGCTCAGCAAGGGAGCCTGCTTCTCTCCCTCTGACCCTCCCCCCTCTCATGTACTCTCTCTCTCTCTCATTCTCTCTCTCCCAAATAAATAAATAAATCTTTTTAAAAAAAAAAAAGATACTATATAAATGCAAATTTTTTTTCTATGAGTACTGTTAGAGCTTCTTTAAATACCACTGCCTCAAAAGCTTTAACTTTGGCGATTACCCGAAACAGCCTAGCTGGTAAAGATTTGTTGGAAATTGTGGCAAAAGGACAGGCCCAGTAAGCTAACTGCAGTTGTTTGTCATCTCTGTGCAGCCAAGCTCCTTAACAGGTAAAGATCAGGTCTTCTTTCTTTTCTTTCTCCTGTTTTTCTAAATCCCTTTTATCCCTAATCCCTGCTTCAACCGTAAGTATTTTTTAAAAATATTTTTTATTATTATTTATTTGAGAGAAAGAATGAGAGAGAGAGAGAGAGAGCACGAGAGGAGGGAGGGTCAGTGGGAGGGTCAGTGGGAGAAGCAGACTCCCCGCTGAGCAGGGAGCCCGATGTGGGACTCGATCCTGGGACCCCAGGATCATGACCTGAGCCGAAAGCAGCTGCTTAACCAACTGAGCCACCCAGGTGTCCAACCGTAAGTATTAAAATGTGTTTTATGTGTATCCCTTTATGTGCATAAATTCATGTGAAATGTGTATTTTATTTTGTATTGCTATTTTATATTATGTAAAGCAGTCACATTTGTGTCTTCGGCTCTTTTTCAGATCCATCCATGTTGCTGTGTGCCACACAGTCTGCTTCCAGGTCCTGCATACCTCATTCTCCATGGTGTGCAACCCCAAAACTATGAGCAGTAAAACACTGTTCAAAGTGGGCTTGTTACTCAACAATAGATAATCAAAACAATAATCATCTTTCTACCTTCCATAACACAAACAGGACCCTCAAATATCTGCTGGATAAAGGATAAGCTAAACTTCTATTAGTTCAAAAAATATTTAATAAGTACTCATTTTGCTAGGCAAGAATCTGTATATCCAAGGTTCTGTCTGTCCTTACAACATACCACTCTAACTCACAGACCTGTCCTCCGTGGGACTTAACCACCACTCACCTTTCCCACAAGTTGTACAATTTCTGCCAGGTCTTCTTCTTCCTGCAGAATCTCTTTAGCTTTGGTCCTCAGAGGAACAAATTCTGTGAAGTGTTTGTCATAGTACTCGTCCAAGGCACGCATGTACTTGCTATAGCTGATTAGCCAGTTGACAGAGGGGAAATGCTTACGTTGAGCTAGCTTCTTATCTAAGCCCCAGAACACCTGATTTAAAAACAAAACAAACAAATACAATGATTTTTAAAAAAAAAAATTTTTTTTAATAAAGTATATTTGTCCTAAATATGCAATTCTATAATATTTTGGTCAAATTATCAATCTTTTTAATATATCTCACATATAACTGAAATAGAATAGAACTTACAATTTAAAAAATATATTCTACTTTTAGTTTCAGGATGGATATTATCTATAAATCAAATTCAAATAGTACCTGAATTTCCTTAGTGTGGCAAATCTGATAGAAGAAAAATGAATGGACTCTTCTGATTTATTATGGTGCAATATAAACAGAGGAACTAGAAAATGCTTACTGAGATAGAAGAGATTCTTCACTTTGATTAAACACCTTGAAACATTCTGACTAAATTCAATTCCCTATGATTAAGGGCCAATCCAATAAGATCTAACAGTCATTTTTCTGAGACCAAATGTTCACATATATTTTATGCATTCTTAACTTTGCTTGCCCTTTCCCTGAAATTGAAACTCAAAATGTTAGCAAAGGTTAAACACCCCGAGAGTTATAAATATAGCCTCTGCCATTTTTTTTCTCAGATACTGACAGAAACATAAGCAAATATTCTTTTTCCCCCATGAATAATACACACACTTATGAATATATCAGCATTCTACTACAGCCCTGATTTGTATACATCTTTCATTTAGGCTTCTTTTGATGGCCAAGTTGACCAGCTATCCACTGCAGTTCCTGCCTTGTCACTGGGGGAAGCAGCTGCGTAGGCAGAAAACACATTTTCCAGCTTTGCTTTCATCTGGGTGTGGCCAACAGAATGAGTGGAGTGACTGCACCTGAGCTCAGAGTTCACAGTGTGGGTGTGCCTTCTCCAGTTTCCCTCGTGCCAGCCAGAGACGCAGACGGCTGCAAGGCTAGGTGACAGGGAAGCTCCAAGCTGGAAGGAACCCTGGTCTCTGAATTACTAGTAAGTGGAAAAGAGCCATCCTCTGATAAGATCATTTGCTTAGGATCATACTATGAGAAAAAAAGAAACTTCTACTGAGTTTTGGCCATTATGCATTTTTAGGCCTATCTGTTTCTACAACTAGGGTTACTCTCACTTAAAGGCTGTATTATTCCCACACTAATAAAACTGCTATTCTGGATGTATTTTCCACTTACAGAAATTAAATTTGTTATAAATGTTAGGCAAAGGGCTAAGAAACAATGGACAGTATTAAAAGCTCTCAGTGACAAGAATGTTCCTAAAACAGACTTTCCTATTGATTAACTCTGTAGTGAGTAGATTAAATACTTCACGATGGTTTAGATAACATTAAAGCAGAGCCGGGGTGGGAAAGCTCAGAAGTTGACTATACTAGGAAAAGATATACCTGAACAATACCAAGAGTAGCAGATGTAACTGGATCAGAAAAATCACCACCAGGTGGAGAAACCCTAAATTTAAAGGGAAAAAAAAGTCATTATAGAAGATTAAATAACTGGCATATGAAAATAAAATTGTTTGAAAGTCAATATTAATGTAAATAACTTTAGAACTAACATTTTTTTTTTTAAGATTTATTAGAGAGAGAGCCAGAGAGCACGAGCAGAGGGAGTAGGAGAAGCAGGATCCCCACTGAGCAAGGAGCCCGGGGTGGGGCTCAATCCCAGGACCCTGGGATCATGACCTGAGCTGAAGGCAGACGCTTAACTGGCTGGGCCAGCCAGGCGCCCCTCTAACTAACCTTTAGAACTAAGAAAAACTGACATACAAATATTAATAAAAATCAGTACTACGTTGCAAATAACAATGGTAACTACTGAATAGCTTCTAGTACTAGAAATTAGAGATATAATCAGTTTCGTGATTCTAATCAAAAGATGAAACAGGAAGGAAGAAAAAGCTCTAAAAATAAAGTATGGCTTTATGTAGTGATCATGGATCTTCATTTTGTTTTTACCTTGATACAATCTTACCTTAACATGTCTATAATTTTCTAAGTTATTAAGACATTGTGACTTAAATATATCAGTTAAGACGAATAACCAGAATATACAGAGAGAACCTAAACATGTACATTGTAAGGAGCTCTTTGGGTGACCCTGGAGTGCAATCTTGGTTAAGAACCACTACCCTCAGAGGAATTTTTTCTTTAAAATTAATGACTTTTGGGGCGCCTGGGTGGCTTAGTCGTTTAGCGTCTGCCTTCGGCTCAGGTCATGATCCCAGGGTCCCAGGATCAACCCCTGTGCATCGAGCTCCCTGATCAGCGGGAAGCCTGCTTCTCCCTCTCCCACTCCCCCCTGCTTGTGTTCCCTCTCTCACTGTGTCTCTCTCTGCCAAATAAATAAAATCTTAATAAAATAAAATAAAATAAATGACTTTTAATTTTTCTTTTGAAAAGTGAACAGTTGAGGTGCTTACGCTCCTACAATGCTGACACTTCCTTCTCTTTCAGGATTTCCAAGACATTTCACCCGGCCCGCTCGCTCATAGAAAGAGGCCAGACGGGCACCAAGATATGCAGGATATCCACTATCTGAAAAAATGAAAAGAAATTAAGAGAGGGTCTAAGCCAGTGCTAAAAATCTTATCAGTCTTCTTACATGATAAGCAATACAAAGACTTACCTGCAGGCATTTCAGCTAAGCGGCCAGAGATTTCTCTAAGAGCCTCTGCCCATCTAGAGGTAGAGTCAGCCATCATACTGACATGATAACCCATGTCACGGAAATATTCTGACAGTGTAATTCCTAAATTGGGAAGAATATCGCAAGTTATAATTCTACAATGTAGAAACCTGACTTTGTCACCCTTAAGAAAACTTTAAAACAGTAAGTACATGAGGTAGACTGATAGCTGTTCACCAAAATCTGTTCTCCCTCTTCTTTTGTGCACACAGTTGAATTACATTTCCTGGCCTCCTTAATATTTAGATATGACCATGTAACTGATCTCGAGCGGACAGAATGAAAGTCAAAGTAATGAGTTCCATCATCAGGCAAGCCACACATCCTTCCATGCTCTTTATTCCTTCTGACTTATTTGAGATAGAGAGGACTCCCAGGAGCTCTGGAAGTCATGAGTTGAAAATGAAAGAGTACTTTTCAGCCTGGGTCCCAGCCCAGAATGACAGAATTAAAAAGAGACGTTGACCACTTAAAAAAAACATCTATTATACTGAGCAATGACAAGTTTGGGTTTATTTGTTGCCACAGGCTATTCTAATATAATACACATTTTAAAAAGTAGGAAGAGACTTTTTCCCTATTCCTTGTTGAGATAATTATGTCTGAAATTAATTTCCACTGTAGCTTTTATCTACATATCACAGATACACATACCCCCCAACTAATTAGCTTGTTTATTTTTCAAAAGTAGCAAATGTTATTAACCTGAGTAATATCTTAATTATCCAGATCATTCTGCTGTGCATATTAGGTTCCAATCTGTTAAATCACTTACGGTAAACCATTTAGAAAAAGAGTCTAACGTACAGAAAAGAAGTCCCGGGTTCTAGTTTCTGCTCTGTCATAACCTCAGCAAACTAGCTTCATTTCCCAGTGTAGTTTCCTAATCTGTTAAAACGGAATAACTCTTGCTCTATCTATCTGTACATATCAGATGAAATGATACATATAAATACCCTTTGAAAAGTACAAGGTACTATGCAACTCTAACATATTAGAAAGTTATAGTTGTTACTACATTATAAGAGCCCCCAAATCTAATGCCCTGATTCCTTTATTTTACCTGTAAAGAAACAGAGGCATATATAAGTAAAACAAAATAGCACTAAAAAAATCAGCACTTTACTATTCATCATATCACATCTTTCAGATTAAGAAATACTGATATCTGAGGCTTTTAAAAAATGATTCCATGATCAAAGTCTTAAAAAAATATCACTTCTCATTATTAAGGCTTAAAAAAACACATTTGTCATCACATATTCCAATGTGATGACAGGATCAGGTCCTCTCTTATACCAGCATGGCTACATTTTCAGTCTCTGTGATGGTGCTCATTAATGCTTGTGTGTATGTATTAGAAAGACTTGGTGGAAGAGAAAGATACATATGAGTAAACTTCAAAGAAGTTTCACAGACCTAACGATATCAGCGCCTACCAGTTTAAAAAAATCAACAAAACAACACCTTAGACAAAATCAAAAGATGAACAAAGTGGGAAAACACTGGCAACTCATGACAGATAAAAGACCATTTTCAAAGAGCTTTTATAAATAAGTATGAAAAAGAACTCCTATCCAAAAGGAACGTGGACAGAAAGCAGTTTTCAAATGGTTAATACAAAGAGCAAAGATGCTAGCTCACTGAAAGAAATACAGACTGAACAGGTATCTAATAAAGCAGAGATAGTAAAATGCTAATTGTCAAATCTGGGTGCTGAGAACATCACTGTTCACCACAATATTCTTTCAAATGTCTAAGTGTTTGATAATTATCCTAAGAAAGTGGTACAAAACCTAGCACTGGTGAAGATGTGGAGAAACAGAACTCTTGCTCGCTGTTACCCCTTTTGAAGGGCTATCAAAATCTAAAATCTACATTAACAGTTGTACGCTTGGCAATTTTACTTCTACAAATTTACCTTATAAAAATGTACAAAGAAACGTGCACAAAACATGAAAAGAAACTATAAAAAACATACATAAGGATGTTTTAGTGATGCAAGGTTTGTGATAGCAAAAAAATGATCAATAATCCATGTGTCTACCAGAAAGGTGCTGGTTAAATCAGTTATGACATAGCCATACAGATGGGATACTATGCATTTAAAAGAAGACTTCCTGTCTTAAAATAGTAGATGAATAGGTCACTTTTCCCTTCTCACACAAGTAATCACCAAACAAGGAGAACAAGAAATATAAAAACTCTATTATCAGGGCACCTGGTGGCTCAGTCGTTAAGCGTCTGCCTTCGGCTCAGGTCATGATCCCAGGGTCCTGGGATCGAGCCCCGCATCAGGCTCCCTGCTCCGTGGGAAGCCTGCTTCTCCCTCTCCCACTCCCCCTGCTTGTGTTCCCTCTCTCGCTGTGTCTCTCTCTGTCAAATAAATAAAATCTTAAAAAAAAAAAAAGAAGATAACCATAAGAGAAGAGAAAAAGTTTCAGAAACAATTCTTGAAAATTTTCCAAAAAAATAAAAGACATCTTTGTAGGTTGAAAAGGTAAGTAAGTATGTTTCAGGAAAAATTTATCAAAACTATCAATACCGGCATATATCCTAATAAAGTTATAAAACTTTAAATTTACAGAGAAATTCCTTTGAGCAAAAAGAAAAATCATCTATAAAAGGGAAAAAAGCAGGTCGGCTTCAGATCTCTATCTGGCATTATTTTTTTAAAGATTTATTTATTTTGAGAGAGAGAGAGAGAGAAAGGGAGAGAGAGAGAACGCGTGCTCATATGAGTGAGCACACCAGGAGAGGCAGAGGAAAAGGGAGACAGAATCCCAAGCAGACTCTGCCCTGAGTGTGGAGCCTGATGGAGGGCTCGATCCCATGACCCTGAGATATTAACCTCAGTCGAAACCAAGAATCCGAGGCCAACTGACTGTGCTGCCCAGATGACCCTCTCTCCCTAGAATTTAATGCTAGGATAAGAGGTCTCAAGGAAACAAACACTGATCCAAAATATTTATACCCAGCCAAACTACTATTAAAATTTAAAGGCAGTGGGGCGCCTGGGTGGCTTAGTCGTTAAGCGTCTGCCTTTGGCTCAGGTCGTGATCCCAGGGTCCTGGGATCGAGCCCCACATCGGGCTCCCTGCTCGGCAGGACACCTGCTTCTCCCTCTCCCACTCCCCCTGCTTGTGTTCCCTCTCTCGCTGTGTCCCTCTCTGTCAAATAAATAAATAAATAATCTTAAAAAAAAAAATTTAAAGGCAGTGGAGGGGCACCTGACTGGCTCAGTCAGAAGTGTGCAAATCTTGATCTTGGGGTCATGAGTTCGAGCTCTGTGTTGGGTGTAGCGATTACTTAAAGAGGAAAGAGAAAAAGAAGAAAATTTAAAGGCAGTGGAGGGGCACCTGACTGGCTCAGTCAGAAGAATGTGCAAGTCTTGATCTTGGGGTCAGGAGTTCGAGCTCCATGTTGGGTGTAGCGATTACTTAAAGAGAAAAGAGAAAAAGGAAGAAAATTTAAAGGCAGTAGAAAAAAACAAACTTATGAAGAAAAAAGAATCCATGGAATATAGTTTCCCTGAGCCTTTCCTGCAGAAACTTCAAAAAGTCAGATTTTAGCCAACCACGAAACAAATGGAGAAACTGTAGCCAAAGGACTGCTGTGGGGACTGACTCCATTTTACTCTAGGTTTAAGGCTAATACGAATATTGTATGTATGGTTACACAACCGAATGTGAATATTATAAATCCTGAAAATGTAGAAATAAGAGTACCAAAAGCTAGGATAGAAGTAGGAGCAAAGATGGGAGGTAATACATAAACACACTGATTTTATCTTTTATATCTAGCCATCAAAATACAATAATTCAAAACTGATGTTTCAAGTTATAGAGCTACAGGTATATTTGGAGTTAGAGCAATGGTAAATCATGTAATGAAAAAAAAACAGTAGTAGAAGATGTGTCATTTTATGGTCATGCTAGCTTTAAACTTAAGAACAGGTGTAAACTTCCTTCTTTTTTAAAGATTTATTTATTTATTTTAGAGAGAGAGAGAGAGAGAGAGAGAGAAACAGCGGGCGAGCAAGTGGGGGGAGGGGCATAGGGAGTGGGAGAAAAATCCCAAGCAGACGCCCCACCAAGCACAGAGCCTAACGCGAGGCTTGATCCTAGGACCCTGAGATTATGACCTGAGCCAAAATCAAGAGCTGGACGCTTAACCAACTGCACTACCCAAGTGCCCCAGATGTAAACTGCTTTTATTCTAATTCATATACTCACCAGTATAAATAGACGCTTCTCTAGCAGCAACAGGCATATTGGAGGTATTGGCTACCAAAGCTGTCCTCTTCATAATTGATTCCACCTTACCATCAACTTCCATTGTGAGCTAAAGGCAAACAATCTATTTTGATCCTCTAATTTCCAAATAGAACATTTTAGTTCCCCTTTTTACAATTTACCCATACTTAATCCCTCTTATAATCAGTTTTCCCAAAGTAGTATTTCCCATCACTCCAAACTTTTCTTCCTGCCCTACTGTGCTTTTATTTCATAAGTGAAATCCATTATTTTATGGAAAAAGGAATATTAGTTTAGCAACCTAGTAGATCATATAAAACTGATATAAAGTTCCCATCCATAAATATTTTGTCTATTTTATCTTTCTCCTAACAACTGAAAACCATTAGACCACAAAAAGAAATTTTAAAGTATTTGACTGAAAAATTCCAATTCCTTTCCTTGAATATACAAACCGAATCACAAATATAATTAGAAAATTCCTTAAGAGATCCTTGACAAATGAGAGCATTGCTCCAGATCCAATACAAAGCTTTATTAATTGCCACTGAAAGTTGATTAGTGGTATTTTCTCGAGAATAATATTTGAAGCTTTATATATACGGACCTCTGGGAAGTCCCGGAGGACTTCAGACATCTCATTTCCTCGTTCACCACATCCTACATAGATGATCACATCACTGTTGGAATACTTGGATAGAGACTGTGATATCACTGTCTTTCCACAGCCAAAAGCCCCCGGGATTGCCGTAGTTCCTCCCTGTACACATCTAAGCAAAGAAAACAAAGCATTACTTTATTTGCTAATAAATACTAACAAATAAAGTAGGTAAGTGACACAGAAATACAAGTTAAGGAAAGAAGGCACTTTGAAATATTTTCATCTGTAAATACAAAGATAGATATACAGATACAGCTACAAAAATTGCTCCCCCAGTTGATACCTGTAACTGTGTATGTTTTTTTTATTATCATTAACCATTTCTACCATCTTTAACAGCTGAAAAGTGAGAATATATGCCATAAGGTACCTGGGGAAAAGGAATCTGAAAATAAATAAAACAGTACTAATGATTTTTAGAATGCTTATATAGATTAGTTCAGGAAAGCACAATATAGGAATTAAAGCTAAAAGACAAATTTAAACAACTTTACTAAGTTGTCTTCTGAGGCAAAAAATAAGACCTAAGAAAATCATATCCTGCCATAAAGGTTAATGAACGAAGACTTTTGTTAAGGTGTCACTGTCAATCCCCTTTTATACAGTGAGTAACTATTTATAAAGTACTTCCTAGGCACTGCTTGGAGATACTGGAGAGACACCAGCAAATAAGATAGCCATGTTTCCATCCACACAGAGCTCACATTCCAGCGGGGTAAAATAAAGGGGCAGCTGGTGATTATAGCGCCATTTAGCAGCTACATTCAAACTTTCGCTACGAAGTGGCACAGGAGAGTGAACTACCCTTAAGGGCAGAGGAAAGTGCATGTTATGGTGTGTGTCCGTGTGTATGTGCACATGCTAAGTGTGTATGTAGAGCAGGAGGGTGTAAGCAGGAGAAATGAAATGTAATGCTAAGGGAAATTTCTTTGCAATACTATGTATTATAAAATTCACAGAAACACTATAGCCTTAATAATAATGATAGACTTCTTCAATATAAAACTAATATGCATCAAAGTTTTTTTCTCCTTCAAACTTTTCAGTGACTTTGATAAACTAAGAGGGCATGTCCATTCATTCCATGGCTTTGTTTACCTCTCTCAAATCACTTTTAACTTGGGTGGGGAGGCAGGGCTGGGTGTGTCCCAGTTTGGAAGTTCAATGTGAAATTCAATGTGAAAAGTGCTATCATAGAGAATATCCAAGGTGCTATGGAAGAACACCGGAAGGGATGCAAAGTCTGACACTGGATTGGAGTGGGGTTAGGAGATCCTTCTGACAGCTAAGACCTGAAAGGAAACAGAAATTAGCCAGACAAAGGGAAATAATGTTCCAAGCAGAGGAAACAGCATACCCAAAGGCCCAGGGGCAAGAGGGAGCACTGCCTGAGGAACTAGAAGTCCTTCAGGATGCCTGGAAGATGGTATATAAGGAGTTTGGCTCAGTCAAGTGGCTGAGATGATACTGGAAGGTAAGCAATAACCCGATCACAGATGGTTTTGTAAGGAGTTAAGGAGTATTTGTTTTTGTTTTTTTTTTTAAGATTTTATTTATTTATTTGAGACAGAGAGAATGAGAGACAGAGAGCACGAGAGGGAAGAGGGTCAGAGGGAGAAGCAGACTCCCCACTGAGCGGGGAGCCCGATGTGGGACTCGATCCCGGGACTCCAGGATCATGACCTGAGCCGAAGGCAGTCGCTTAACCAACTGAGCCACCCAGGCGTCCCAAGGAGTATTTGTTTTAAGAGCGATGAAGTGCAGTTAGGGGTTTCAAGCAAAACAGTGCAGGACCAGATATATGTTTTAGATGGGTCATTTTGTAACATGGACAATCACTTAGAAAGAAGGTAAGACTGAAGAGAAATCTGATTAAATGTGATTATTGCAGGAATTAGGGTAGGATCCTTAATTAAAGTCATGGAGTAGGGATGAAAGACGCAGATTAAAAAATATCCAGGTAATAGAATAAAAGCACTTGTTCAATAATTAGATGTGGGCAGGTAAGAATGATCCTTGAGAGAAGTCACAGATTTTACATTTGGCATTTACCGGATGGATGACACTGACATCTCAAAGAGGCAACAAAAAAAAGATGAGCAAGTTTCAAGGAAGAGAGTGGCGATTAAGATGATGATTTGAGCTATGAATATACTGACTCTGAGGCACCTCTAAGGCATTCAAAAGGAGAGGTATGAACAGAAGTGAACATGTGAGTCTGGAACTCACATGAGATCTGGGAGGAAGATACAGATTTGAAAGTCATCATTTTAATATTTAATATTTAAGGGGCGCCTGGGTGGCTCAGTTGTTAAGCGTCTGCCTTCAGCTCAGGTCATGATCCTGGGGTCCTGGGATAGATCCCTGCATCGGGCTCCCTGCTCGGCGGAAAGCCTGCTTCTCCCTCTCCCACTCCCCCTGCTTGTGTTCCCTCTCCCGCTGTGTATCTCTCTGTCAAATAAATAAATTTTAAAAAAATTTTAATATTTGTCATGAGAGTGAAAAAACTCTAAGAAATATCAAAATTAAGGGAGAAGGGACCTGAAATGGAGAATAAGAACTTGTGGACAGAAGCTAATAGGAAAAGCAAAGAAAGAGGGTATTTGAAGGAGGAAGGAGTAGAAAGCAATATCCAAAGTTGTAGGAATTAAGGAAATACTAAAACTTACTTATTGAATTATCAGTATGGGAGTGAATGATGATGTTAGTGAGAGTAGTTTCAACCGGGTGGGCAACATGAATGAGAGTGGGAAAAGTGGAGATGGCCAATTTAATTTTTCAAGAGGTCTGGCTATGAAGATGAGGAGACAAGTAGTGGAAGGTAGAAAGGGGAAAGGATGGAGGGTAGATATTTTTTCATTAGATGGGAGATAAAGGGAAGATAACCTTGAAGCTTATCTAAAGAGAGATAACCTCAAGTGAGGTCCCAGAGGAGACATGAGGTGGGATATACTCCAGAAAGAGGAAAGAAGAAGGAACGGATGGAAGCGTACATTAATTGAAGGAGTTTCAAATGTGATGACCTCTAACTTCTCTGTGAGGGCTCTAGCATGATCATTTGTGGCCAAAGAAGGAAGAATGGAGCTGGGGCCTTGAGGCAGGTGCAGATGTCTGAAACAGCTGCTGAGGAGAGGAGGAGAATGGTAAACAGGGAAATGCAGGACTGCGACCCAGCAGTGAGGTACTAACTTGCACTGATTATTTGATTTTCTCAGCAGCCTGTGTGTAGATCTGGAAGAAGGGTATCCCCTTCTGGACTGATTCACGGTTGGGATTTTGCTGGGTGGGTGTAACAAAAACAAAGGAACAAGAAAATTTAGTATACCGACAAATATGCAGAAAATTGACAACCTGGTAAACTTAAGCTAGATACTGAAGGATATGGAAACAGGAAGTGCTGACTAATAAGTCACGAGAAATAGCGAGAACAGCTCAGAGAGTAGGTTTCAAGGGTCAGTGGGACGTATGTGGGTCGGTGATCAAGGTTGAAGGAGTTACTGTATCATGGCTTCAGTCTTTTCTGTGAATTGAACGATGAAGTCATTTGTTGAAAGTAAAGCAGGGTATGGTGAAGCCTGAGAATTAAAGAGGTTTTAAGCAGTCAAAGAAAATGGCAAAGAGCAGACTATAAATTAATAGAGTCCTGGGCAGCACGGACAGCTCCGCTGATTTTAGAAACCACCAACTTATAGTGATACCAATCAACTAATTCCAGGATAACTTAATAAAGATAGTTATATCTTTGGGCACAGATTTTCTTCTGGAAATTTTATTTTTTCAGAAAGTTTTAGAAAAAAAAAACCTTTCCTTTTGCAACTGTGAAACAATAAATTTTCAATGATTTGACTCTATTATAGGCATTGGCAATATATGAATATATTTATCTAGTTCACTATTATTTCTCTAGATAAAATTTATTATAGGATTAGCACATTAAATCTTTATCTATAAAGCAGTGAAACAATAAGCACATATAATCCTCTGAGGAAAAACCACAGGACACAGCTCAAACTTACGGAAAAAGGGCATCAAGGACCCTCTGGCCAGTCAACAAGGGATGATTAGCCGGCAGCTTCTCAGTGACAGGCCGAACTTGACGTACGGGCCATACTTGGACCATGCTAAACTTTTCCTTTATACCTTCAAATTCAAGCTCCAAGACAACATCCTATAAAAATACAGCAGGATGTTAAGTACAGTCAAATTTATGAACATTCCTTCCTCCAAAATAAAAGTAATCCCAGATTCCTCTTGAGGTGGAGAGGTGGTATGTGGAAGTGGAGAAGGAGATTTGTATTTCTTATTGCAAATCTTTATAGAGAATTCTCATTTTTTTTGACCAGGTACACTTATTACTGTTTCAAGAATTAAAAAATAGGAGTTTTTGAGAAAGAGGTATTTCAATTAACAGAGGAATAGTTAAATAAATGATACGGATATGCACAGGGACAAGTCTTAAAAGATATAGAAGTGAAATGGGGAGAAATGAAAACTTTCATAATTTACTTTGTATTCTTTCTTTTGTTTACTTTATTACAATGCTCTTACACTGATTTAATTAAAATACTTACCTATTATGAACCCTGAAATACTTAATAAAGTTAAAATATTAAATATTTACAAAAGCAAAAAGGTGAGTAATACTCTAACATTTATGAACACTGGGATGGTTTCAACTATTCACAAACAACCCCAACGTCCCCAGACCTAAAGAAATCAGTAACTTTGTTGATATGTGAATTTGAATTATCTACCTCAGAGTGTTTCTTCCATGTAGGAGTGTGTGAGTCTCTAAACTAGTGAGTCAGGCTGGCTGACTGCCCAGAATCCCAATCTTAACTCTTTTGTTCTCTATATTTTGTAGAGAACAGACTTACTCTTGTGAAATGATTAGAAAAGTATTCTTTTATCACCTTTTGTTGGGAACAGATTATTTGTCATAATGGTCTTCTCAAAAAAGTTATCTTCATACCTACAAAGACTATTATAAGTCTACTGTATTTGATATAATGTGACTATCAATACCATTAAAGGATTAAGTTTTAAATAGCTCATCCAGAGTTAGAATTCATATAATCTGTCACACAATTTATTACGTAAATACAGACTGACAGTTAAAATCCAAGTAAGTCTATTCTATGCCTAAAGAATGAGGGCTTTAAGTAATGTAGCATAAGTTAAGAAGGTAGGAAAATGTTATACTACATACTGCTTTCCCTTAAAAAAAAAAGCAAACAACTCAATATGTTCTGCTTTTTGTATTCCCAAGCCCAAGTTTAAAAATAAAATCATAAAAAAATCTTAAAAAAATAATTATAGGAATTATTTACAGGAAACAACAGGTGTTGGTAAGGATGTAGAGAAAGGGGAGCCCTCTTGCACTGTTGGTGGGAATGCAAACTGGTGCAGCTACTCTGGAAAACAGTATGGTGGTTCCTCAAAAAGTTAAAAATAGAACTACCCTACGACCCAGCAATTGCACTACTAGGTCATTACCCAAAAGATACAAAAATACTGATTCAAAGGGGTACATGCATGCTGATGTTTATAGCAGCATTATCAACAATAGTCAAATTATGGAAAGAGCCCAAATATCCATCCACTGATGAATGGATAAAGAAGAGGTGGTATATATCTACAATGGAATATTACTCAGCCATAAAAAAAGAATGAAATCTTGCCATCTGCAACAACGTGGATGAAGCTAGAGAGTATTATGCTAAAAGTGAAATAAGTCAGTCAGAGAAAGACAAACACCACAGGATTTCACTCGTATGTGAAATTTAAGAAAAACAGATGAACACAGGGGGAAAAAAAAGGGAGGCAACCATAAAACAGACTTTTAACTGTAGAGAACAAACTGAGAGTTACTGGAGGGGAGATGGGTGGGGGATGGGCTAAATGGATGATGGGTATTAAAGCGGCCACTTGTGATGAGCGCTGGATGTTGTATGTAACTGATAAATCACTAAATTCTACACCTGAAACTAATATTGCACTGTATGTTAACTAAGAGGAATTTAAACAAAAACTTGAAAAAAAGTGAATAAGGGAATCTAACGTACATGATGACTGTAGTTAACAGTTTGTATTATATACTCGAAAGTTGCTAAAAGAGTGAATCTTAAATGTTCTCACCACACAGACACAAAAATTAAGTACACGAAGTGTTAACTAACCCTACTGTGGTAATCATTTTACAAAAGATAAGTGAATTAAATCATCATGGTAAAAAAAAATTATGGGAGTGATTTAAAACCTACACATTAAGGATCAATTCTATGACTATATAGGACACTAAAATGGGACAATTATCAGGTAGGGCCACACTATGAGATAAAACTTATACAATACTTACTGAGGTATCATAATTTCCAGGTGGAGCAATGTAAGTTACAGTTCCTCTGTTTCGTGGGGGTAACATGATTTTGTGTTTGATGAGTGAGTTCTCACTGACAATTCCATAAATATCTCCACCAGTGATGTGACTACCAACCTAGAGAACAAATGCATTTGCTGTTTAATGTTCAAATAAGCATCAAGCTGTTCAATGTTTAAATAAATGCCAAGTAGATTCATCCTTGCTGCTGCTATTATTTAAATCATTTGCCTCACTCATCAATAAAACATTATTAGTTCTATAATTCTTCTAGTAGATTTAAAGAAAATTTTAAACTATGCTTCTGTGGTCTATTTTTATTTGACTAAAGTACAAAATAGTTCACTAAACATCCATTTCACATTCTTTCACCACTTTAGAAATCTTGGTTATAAAGACATACCCGTAGGTTTTTGCAAGGTGTAAAATCCCATTTGACATCTCTGCTAAGAGCGGACACATTTACTCCTCTGGGAATGTAGATACTTTGAGTCTGACTGCTGATATCTGACAAAGGTCTCTGAATACCATCAAAAATGGCGCCCATGATGCCAGGCCCGAGCTCTACTGAGAGGGGTTTACCAGTGCGGAGTACAGGATCTCCAACAGATACACCAGCTAGAAACAGTAGTTGAGGAAAACTCACTATGAAAGTTTAGAGACACTATAAGAAGGAAATACCACAGCTGAACAGGAAATGCTACTTAAGAAGCTAAAACAGAAATTCTCAAACTTTCTTAGTTTGCAACATCCTCAGTGTTTCAGTAACTGTTTCACAGTGACCTATGACAAAAGATATATTTAATAATTCCATTTATTAAATAGTTCTATCCAACAAACTTAATAAATACATATGTCCTAACAACTGTCACTTTAAGAAAAAATATATATAGAGATCGAAAGAAAAAAATAGTATTTTAATTTCATTTTTAAATAACATCAGTTCCTCAAACGGGATGTAAATGCCTAATGGGCACTGTAAAATTTTCAAACCTTAGAATCAGACTGAACGCCTGCTCCACATTTATTTTTATATGATACCTGCTTTTTAGCTTAACAATCACCAAACACTCAGCTTTGCAAAGATATGACATCATTGACAAGAACATAGTGCGGCTGAATACTGAAAGTGTCTATTAACTGAAGCTACTGGTTCACATGATGTCTGACAACATGTCTACTATTCCTGTGTTAACCTCAAAAATTTTAAATATCCTGGCACATCAAATGAGTTTGTAGCAGCTGCCCAGTGTGCCTTCTGCACAGTTTGGGAACCACAGAGCTAAAAGCAGAAGCAATACACTGTTAATACATTGTTTCAAGTATACTACTGAGGGATATCAGTCCCCTAGAAAGGATATTAGTACATGGGCAAAACCTTAAAATCTTAAGAATTAAGAAGTGGTTTTGAAAAGGAAAAGAATAAAACCTGCAAATAAGCACACTGAAACCATGTTGCTCTCACATACTTGTTGACAGGAGTAAAATCAGTACAACTTTTACTGACAGCAACTCAGCTAAATCTATCAAAATTTAAAACGCATAAACCTTGACCCAAGAATCCAACTTCCGTGAATTCACACTACAGTTACACTATAACACTGTTTATAATATATATAGACTAGACACAACCAAAATTTCTATCATTAAAGAGATTAATAAATTATGGTATATTCGTATGATGGAATTCTATGTAGCTGTAAAAAAAAAAAAATAGGAGCTTCAATGAATTGCTCTAGAAAGATCTCCAAAACATATTTTAATTTCCAATATGAAACTTTTCAAACCTACAGCAAAGTTGAAAGAATTTTACAGTGAATTCTTTTATCTACCAGTTAGATCTTACCATTAATATTTTCCTATACTTTATCACATACCTATCCATCTTCCATAATACATACATTTTTAAGTAAAAGGTTAGAAAAATAACGTATTTATATTGGTTCATATATGGAATTAACAAACTAGAAGGATATACAATAAAAGGAATTAATAAAAATGGCTGCATGCATGCATGTGTTTTTTGAAAATTGGCCAGATATAGAATGACAATGGTGGAGAGGGTTGTCATTGTATACATGTTCATTTTTTTTAATTTTAAGCCTTCAAACCACATAAAAGATTGAAAGACAAAGCTAACATTAGGAAAAAAAACCCTTAAAAAATCCTTTTAATTAGTCATGATTTCATAGCTACAAAGACCTCTAATTTTATTTAAATTTTCAGATGATTTTATTTTGATTTAGCACCCTAGTACTCGCACAGAGAGAGCAGTTACCTGAAAAAATGTATTTTATTATGGCAAAAAAGTTGTTTAAAGTAAAGCTTAATTAAATAGCCAAAGAACTAATGCTGCCCCCATATTTACAGCAACATTATTTACAATAGCCAAGATATGTAAGTAACCTAAGTATCAACTGATAGATTAATGGAAAAAGACGATGTAGCATGTGTGTGTAGAGAATACTGTGGCATATGTATATAGAGAGAATATATTGTGTTTTATATATGTATACACATATGTTATATTACACAATAAAATATTACTCAGCCACAAAAAAACCCAAAATCTTACCATTAGCGACAACATGGGTGGACCTAGAAGGTCCGTGAAATAAGTGAGACAGAGGAATATAGAGAAAAACAAATACCATATAATTTCACTTACGTGTGGAATCTAGAAAACAAAACAAATGAACAAACAAAAACAGAGACAGATTCATTAAATACAGAGAACAACCTAGTGGTTGCCAGAGGGGCGAAGGTTGGGTGGATGGGCGAAATAGGTGAAGGATATTAAGAGGTACAAACTTCTAGTTATAAAATAAATTAGTCATGGGGATAAAAAGGTACAGCATGGGGAATACAGTCAATAATACTGTAATGACTTTGTCTGGTAACAGATGGGAACTACACTTACCATAGTGAGCATTTCATAAAGCATATAATTGTCAAATCCCTATGTTATACACCTGAAATTAATATAATATTGTATGTCAACTCTATCTACTTCAATAAAAAATTTTAAAAAATAATATTAAATAAGAAGAATTAATGCTGATCTTGAGAATCAATTTAAGTAAAACATATAAGTGAAGTTAAAAAAAAGTGGTTCCTCTTCACAAAGCCTAACACATTACCTCTTTTTCATAGAAAACTGAAAATAAATACTGTTTAAAAGCCAAAAGTATGATAATCAAACAAGTAGTAAAGATTCCCTAGTGCTAAAGCTATCATGTAACATGTCATCCAGCATTATTTATTAGGATAAAGAGTAGTGACTGATCTATGAATTTTCTATTTTAATACAATTTTTTTTTTAAAGATTTTATTTATTTATTTGACAGAGAGAGACACAGCAAGAGCAGGAACACAAGCAGGGGGAGTGGGAAAGGGAGAAGCAGGCTTCCCGCAGAGCGGGGAGCCCGATGTGGGGCTCGATCCCAGGACCCTGGGATCATGACCTGAGCCGAAGGCAGACGCTTAACAACTGAGCCACCCAGGCGCCCTGAATTTTCTATTTTAAATGGAATTTTAACCATATAAATCAATGTTGTTATTCTGTTTATGCTTTCCTCTACAGTATGTGTCACTCTTAAGAAAAATGAAACTGGAGGGTATTATGCTGAACGAAATAAGTCAATCAGAGAAAGACATGTATCATATGACCTCACTGATATGAGGAATTTTTAATCTCAGGAACAAACTGAGGGTTGCTGGAGTGGTGGGGGGTGGGAGGGATGGGGTGCCTGGGTGATAGACACTGGGGAGGGTATGTGCTATGGTGAGTGCTGTGAATCGTGTTAAGACTGATGAATCACAGACCTGTACCTCTGAAACAAATAATACATTATATGTTAAAAAAAAAAGAAGAAGATAGCAGGAAGGGAAAAATGAAGCGGGGGAAATCGGAGGGGGAGACAAACCATGAGAGACGATGGATTCTGAAAAACAAACTGAGGGTTCTAGAGGGGAGGGGGGTGGGAGGATGGGTTAGCCTGGTGATGGGTACTAAAGTGGGCACGTACTGAATAGAGCACTAGGTGTTATATGCAAACAATGAATCATGGAACGCTACATCAAAAACTAATGATGTAATGTATGGTGATTAACATAACATAATAAAATTTAAAAAAAAAGAAAAAAGAAAAATTGTAATTGGTTTCCCCTAAAGTTTGTGAACTACCAAAATAGTAAGAGCAATGAAAGTTCAGAAGATAATACTAATTTCTTCAAATAAGATCATTAATTCCTAGTATCTTTCCTGAAATTCCTTTGTACATCAGGTTTCTTTATAACACCAACATTTCATGCTTTCGATACTATTGGTTGTTGCTGCTTCCACCTTTGCCATAAATCCTTAAATTCTGACTTGTACAAAGTGGCAAGAAATTGAACCAAGAAAGGATACAAGTTTCTTCATACACCTGGATAGTAGCCATGTCACCCTCCAATCGGATAATCTCTCCAACCAGCTCACTGTGGCCCACTCTCACCAGCTCATACATGGCTGCACCTGCCATGTCACAGGCTGTAACCACTGAAAAGAACAGATGAGTATTTGGAAACTTAAGATTCTATGAATAGTTACAGATAATTGAAATATCTGATTAATCCAATAATACATCTCTCTCACATATTAAGAAAAATAAAATACCCGCTAAGAAACATACATACAGTTTCACAAAAATATGCATTTTTAGCATATGATATACAGGTAAACAAAATAAATTTGTTAGGCTAAATCTTATTCATTTCATTTACATAATACGTATGAAGATTATTTTCAAAAAGTCTGAAGTTCTATATGGTAAAATCTTACCTAGCAGCACTGAGACACATTTTGATCAACCCAAGTTGCTATAAAACACGGAATGATGGATTTGGGAACAATAAAAAATTTTTTAAACTAAAACTGGCACAAGAGCTTTAGCTAGTAGCATGGTAGAATGCCACACAATTATCAGTTTGCTGTGCTCTCACCATTCCTTTGAGAAATAATATTTAAAATAACATCTTTATTTTCATTTCTAACACTTCATATTAGTGGTTCTTAAAACTCTTCTGGGACAAGGACCCCTTTGATAAACTAATGACAGCTCTTCCTAGAAAAACTCACATATGCATCTAAAAAATTTTTTTCAGGGGCACCTGGCTCAGTTGGCAGAGCATGAAGCTCCTGATCTTGGGGTTGTGAGTTCGAGCCCCACGTTGGGTGTAGAGATTACCTAAAACATAAATCTTTAAAAAATAATAATACTTTTTTTTTTAAGATTTATTTATTTATTCACTTGAGAGAGAGAGAATGAGAGCCAGAGAGCACGAGAGGGAAGAGGGTCAAAGGGAGAAGCAGACTCCCTGCTGAGCAGGGAGCCTGATGTGGGACTCGATCCCGGGACTCCAGGATCATGACCTGAGCCGAAGGCAGTTGCTTAACAAACTGAGCCACCCAGGCGCCCAGTAATACTTTTTTTTTTTCATAGACCTTTCATCCTTTATAAGGATGTTTATAATCAGTCATCACCACTGGGTGAAGTCCTGATTAAGAATCCCTATTTCTTATAAATACTGAACCAGGATTTCTACTTACTATTTTAGATCATGTTGTCTAGTAAGAAAAGTTATTTTTCTGGGAGGCAGGGAAAGTTGTACATTTTCAGACATGTGTAGTAATAACTGTATTTTTAATATTTAGCCTTCTGATACAATTAATTAGAACTATGTATTAGGTAATATTCAATTAGAAACCATTAAAGTATTAATATTTAATCAACTTGGGTTAGAACAATGAAGATTTGTCAATTTCATAAATATTTATCTCTATACCTACTATGTAAGAATAATTAAGATGAACTGAAATGAAAGAAACTAAAATTTTATTTTATTATTTTTTAAGTGGGGGGAAGGGAGAGGAAGAGAATCTTTTTTTTTTTTTTTAAGATTTTATTTATTTACTTGACAGAGAGCGAGCACAAGCAGGGAGAGTGGCAGGCAGAGGGAGAGGGAGAAGCAGGCTCCTCGCAGAGCAAGGGAAGCCTGATGTGGGACTCAATCCCAGGACGCCAGGATCATGACCTGAGCCGAAGGCAGTCACTTAAGCAACTCAGCCACCCAGGCGCCCGGAAGAGAGAGAATCTTAAGCAGGCTCCCCACCCGCGTGGAGCCTGACTCCGGGCTCAATCTCACAACCTTGAGATCATGACCCGAGCCAGAATCAAGAGTTCGCCACTTAAGTGACGAAGCCACTCAGGTGTCCCTAAAATTTTAAATCATATTTCATAAGCCCCAAAGTATGCCATTTCTCTATCATTTTGTTAAGTACTTAAGAATAATAAATAGGTTCCAGGAGCAGTTAACTACAGGTTTCAGAAAAATATTTTTACCTAAACTCTTTTGATGGTGTTCTTTTTTGTCTTTTCCCTAAAAAATCTTCAGTGTTGTCCAACTTTCCTAAAGACCCTTCTGATCATCAAGGGGAAAACTGTTTCTCAGAATGGCAAGAGGTTGAAAACAGTGAAATGTATTTTTGCCAATGAGTTCATGTTCAAACACCAAGTTCTAAGCTACAGAAGTTTCATAGGGAGAAATAAACACCGTGACTGACTGACTTCATTTGCATAAACACCAAAAAAAGGTCATCACCTCTACTGTGATTAAAACAAAAAAGCCTATAGCATGAGGTTTATAAAAAGACATAAGGAAAAATATTCATGGCACTAAGGATTATAAATCAATGAGCAGGTTTACCTATGGAAAACTGTAAATCATATTTTGCAGTTGGAGTAAAATGAATACTAGAATGAGATTTATCATTTAAAATGCAATACCCCAAGTTTTGGGAGAATAAACAAAGTTTTTAAACTGCTTTCCATTGCTCTCATGTCATAAAACTTCTTTCCCACAGATAGCTAGTTATGCAATATCTGAAATTAACGTTCAGAGGGATTTAAATATACAAAGAGCCAAGGATGATATTGTTGAGAAATGCTCTGAAAAAAATTATTTCAGTTCAAATGACATAAACATATATTTACTGAATGCCCATTATCTGTAAGGTATTACGTACTAAAAACTATAAACTTTATATAGCCTTTTTACCTCAGATTTAACAAAAAAATTCAAGACCTATCTAAAACTCTGAACACCAATTATACATTTACATAATAAATAGATGTCACAAATTAGTGCCCAATAATTATCCAATTAAGATAATGAATGCCAGAGAAGCTCTTATGATGGAGGTATTACCTCATTCTTATAGCAACTATGAAATCTTTTAGGGACAAATAGAACTTATATGGGTAAACAGAAACCTGTGTATTTTACCCAAAAAACCTTGAAAAGACATTAATTGAATTTAGGAATCTTTACTATTGAGATTATTACATATTACTTACCAGGTCCTGAGACCCCATGCACATAACCAAACGTGCTTTCTTTATCTTCATCAAGTATTTTGGGTAGCTTGGAGAAATCCATCATGTTAATTTACCTATGGTTTAAAAAAAAAAAGTTATAATTACAAACCCAAAAGCAAAAGTGCTTTCTTTATCTTCATCAAGTATTTTGGGTAGCTTGGAGAAATCCATCATGTTAATTTACCTATGGTTTAAAAAAAAAAGTTATAATTACAAACCCAAAAGCAAAAGAACTGACATAAGTAGTCAACTCTCATCATCGGTCTATTCTTGAGCTATTACCACTTCTTCAGAGTAAAATATAAAATTCTTAAAATTTGGTTAAAGTACCTCATTCCTGGATGGTCTACAGTTATTAAAATTCAAAATTACATATTCCTATGCAAAGTATTCCAGAGAATATACCAAGGAGCATAATAAACAACATGAAGTCTTTCCATGGCTTATCCAGCCCTACAACATCTTGTCCCCCCTGCCATTACCACTCTAAGCTCCTCTCCAACTACTCTTCCCCTTAATCATTATGGATACACATACTGAACTCTTTGCCATTTCTCAAAAGCATATACATTCTGCCCCAGGATCTTTGTATGTGTTCCCCTGCCTGGAGTATTCTTCTCCCAGATAACCACGCCTATCCCTCTTTCAGATCTAAATGTTTCCTTCTCTGAGGCGCTTCTCTGGCCATCTATTTAAAATTGCAACATACCTCTCTCCTTCCCTGCTTTACTTTTCACCATCTGACAAATTATATCTTACAATAAAAATTTTTAAATGTATTATCTATCTTTATAATTTTTCTTACAATATCTTATCTTTATAACTTTTCTGACAAATTATATCTTACAATAAAAAAAATTTTAATGTATCATCTATAATTTTTTTGGAAGCAATTTTCCTTTTTCTTTTTCTTTTTTTTTTAAAGCAGAACACAGAGCAGTTTAAGAAATTCAGTTCAACTTCTTTATTTATGGGTGTGCAATCTCAAAAAACCCCCAAAGAATGAACTCTTCAAGTCTAAAGAGAAAACTGGTTGCAGATACCAAAGTAGAAAGTTTACTTTTGATTGTGGTCTAACTTAAAAATTATTGGCAATTTAATAAGGGAGGTAAAATACATGTGCATATAAAAAGCTAATAATGTCCCCAAACAACCATAAAGTAAGGGTAACAGATCAGTATGTAACTGAGTACCAAATAATACACACTTATTTACTAAAAGTACAAAGAGTAGAATGTTTAGGGAAGACTTCTTGAAGGTCAGGTAGAATTAGCATAAACTACAAAAAGGAGGACAGCAAAGGCATTCCAGGTGGGGGAAATAACAAGAACAAAAGAATGGAAATAACATTTGCAGGAACAGTTAACAGACCAGTCTGGAATAAAAGGCTTATATTAAGGCAACAGTGAAAAATAAGGATGCAAAGGTAGATAGACTAATGTGTGGGTCTTGAAATGAATACCAAGTGGACTTTAGCCTATAAACAATAGGAAACAACCAAGGAGAAACTGTTATGAGAAGGATGATGTTTAATTCAACTAACAGATTAAAGTAGGGGAGGGAATGCAGGCAAGATGAGAAGTTGAAAAGCTCTGGAAATAGTTACGGCTTGAGTGTCAATGGAATGCAATTTATTAAATGTTTATTGAGCTCCTACCTTCAAAAAGCACTGTGTTGAACTTAGGGAACTTGGGGAATAAGGACTGTGAATAAAAAGAGCTTTCACTGGCTTTAAACAAATGTACTATAAAGCAAAATGACTTTAGTGTTCAAAATCACAACACACTGGGCATGAGTAGTATAGTGGTGGAGCACAGCTGCCTTCCAAAATGACAACAAACTGGGAGCAGAGGAGAAATTGACTCAGATGCAGGACAAGTGCAGACCAATATGGATGAGGTAAGGGGAACAGGTAGGTGGAAAGTAGGTTTTGAGGCTGATCTAAGTGAGTCCAGACAGAAAGAATACAGAAAGAAAAAGGAAAAACAAACCTTGAGATCTGGGGATTAATTCAAGCAGGGCTGAGTACTGTTTTTGTCTTTCTGGAGCCACTGAAGGATCACTACGGAAACATATACTCCATGGGGCACAATTTGTAATCCATTAACCAAGATACCAAAGAATTGGGGAGGAGAGTGTAGCAGTGAAGTCATTAACAGTGGAGTTCTGGCTTGATACACTCTGTGGCTTCAGAAGGGGAATGGTGGATAAGGCTAACAAGAAAAAACTGAGTGATTAAAGAAACAAGTATGAGTGAAAACAAAGATGAAAACCACATGGAGATACAGAAGACTTGCAAGTGAGAAGCATACGATCAAAGGGTCAAGAAAAGTATCAAGAACTTAAACATGGCATCGACAGGTAGAGACTATCAAGGCTGGTAATTTATTGATAAAGGGTAGGGTATACTGACATCCACTGAAAACAATGGAACTGAATTAGAAAGAAAAAAATAAACCAGATACCACAGTCACAAGTGTCACAATAAAAGACACAAAGATTTTTGTGTTCTCAACAGGAAAATTAAATTGGAAGAAGGGCAGTTGAGGGAGGAAGTAAAGAAAAGGGGAAATTGGTTTACTAGGATTTTCCAGCTTCCTTAAGATGCAGAAAAAGGGACTGTTAAGTAAGCAGCTATTCCAAAAGACTGGAATATAAAAAGAACAAATTTTTCTAGAAACCACTTAGATAACAAGAAAAAAACAAAAGTTTAATGACAAACATTTATTTGGGAAATGGGCTGGGCAAAGTCTTCGAAGAAATAGTGAACAAACAAATGAGGTCAAATTTTAATCTTCAGAAAACGATTTTCAAAGTCAGAAGACAAGGTGATAATCACAGTCTAACTTCTTCCTCAAATACGGATATTTCCTACATAGCATGCATGATACATGGTCACCTGCCTATTAAAGTGGAAATAGCATGAAATTTTGAGTCAGCAGACTTTAGACACCCTGGTTCTACCAGTGACATGCTGCAGGAGGATCTGGACAAATCAAAATCTCTTTGTATCTTCATTTGAAAAGTAATAATGCTAATACCTACCCCACAGTTGTGACTGAATTACAAATTTGCTGAATGTTCCTTGTGAAATGTAAAATGCTTACAAGAATTTCATCAGTAATACCACTATTTAAGCAGAGCTTCAATGTTGAAAAAGCCATTTTGTTTTTAAAAAATCTCCTCTTAGTGTCTTATATCCCACATAAATCTACTTCCCCATTGTTTCTACCCTCTGGCCCTATTTCTTCCAACCACTGTAGCCACACAAAGGATGTCCCTCTCCCAAGGAAATTCTCTGTAGTGCCTTTAACTCTCAAAAAATTTTTTCAGATCTTTCTCTCCCGAGGCTACTCTTTTCTGGAAGGATTTCAAAATATCAATGTTTGTTTTATTTATTTATTTTTAAAGATCCTGTTTGAGAGAGAGAGAGAGAGAGAGCGCGTGCGCACATGAGCGGGGGTGGGGTGGGGAGCAGTGAGAGAGGGACAAGCAGACTCTGTGCTGAGCGTGGAGCCTGATCCCATGACCCGACCCAGAGGATCAGGACATGAGCCAAAATCAAGAGTCAGATGCTCAACCAACCGAGCACCCAGGTGTTCCTCAATGTTTCTTTTAAAGGTGAGCAAATAAAATAAAAAATAGCATTCTAAATGTTATGCAAGTAAGAACTGAAGTGTACCATTTCATCTGTCCTGGCTGCTTTTAATTAAAACAGAAACCAAGACTTTTGAGTCAGACAGATTGAGTTTGAATTTATAAATTACATCCTCAGGCAAATCAAATTCTTTCAAACTTCTGAACCTTAGTTTCATCTGTAAAATTTAATGGGGTTGTTGCATGGCGCCTAAAAGTAAGCCTAACAGAAAAGTAACGGTGATGACTACTAACTGTATTCTGTTAATACAAGCTAATCTTGCCTAATTTCCAAAAAGCACCTAGTATATTCCTACCTTCCTGTTACTTGAACCAAATCTAGTCACTTGGCTCGTTTTTTTCTTAGCTATTAAGTGTATATTACTGTAACTTTATTTTTTAAAACTAAATAGATTTTAAGCATCAAGGATGTGCCAGGTGCTATGTGTTAGAGGTTGAAAATATAAAATATAATGGAGTAATAAGACACAATCTCTCCCCCAGGGAACTTCTGGCCTGGTGGGATATAAAGGTAAACAGGTAGTTACAACAAGTGACACATGTGCTCTCATAGGAGCTGTCAGGCTGAGTTGGAAGAGCATAAAGCAAAGGCATCAAACCTGGACTTGGGCAGGACAGGAATGACTTAGAAAAGGGTAAGCAGAGTCTTGAAGGATAAACAAGGAGACATGAGTCAGTAGTAGAGCTTCTTCATAAATGATTCAAATCTTCCAGGGTTCATGAAGGATTATGGAGAGAGTTCGTGAGGCAATACAGGTATCTGTTCTGATTTTTTATTAAAATAAATATTTATATACGTTCCCTTTAAAACAACAGTGAGAACCTCCAAATGTATGAGCAATGATTAGTGGAAATCAAAGGGGTTATTCATGATTCAGCTGCCTTGCGGGTTTATCACTCAGCTGAGTAATTCTAGCCACCATGGAAACTAATGATTCTATAGTTTAGCTGTATTATTTTTAGGCATATATTACTTAATTTATGCCAAAGACAGCAGACATTAGAAACAGTGACATCAAACTAATAAGAGAATTAAGAGCCTAAATAATAATTCTATAAATTTAGAGATGCTTTCACCAGATCCACAAACCTGCATTCATCTGATTAATATTCTTTTATAGCAAATCAAGATGATTCTACTTTTTAAAAAATCAATGTTAAGAGGAGAAATATATGATAATGATTATGTGTAACTTAGCTTTTTCTACTCCATTGTGTTACATGAAGAGAAGTGGCTGCAAATACATCCCCAAACCAGCTCTTAATACATCTTTCAGGACAAAGTAAGAAAATTATGAAAACATGAGTTTTTAAAATGTAAAATGCAGGAATTCCCAAGACTTTTGTCCATTTTGATGTTTTAACACAGTTAAATTTTAATCTTGGCTCCAGCAACTCAGACCTTTCCGCTTGCTGT